AGACCCCAACCAAAAAAAAAAAAAAAAAACTGAGGAGAAACAGAAATTAAAAGAGATGAAAAGAACTGTAACCAACTGTACTGTGTAGGACCTGGATTCCAATTCAAATAAATTAGAAAAGTCAACAGAAAAGTAGTATCTAAAAAAAGAAAATCACCACTCCATGTGCAACAAATCCGTTCAGATTTCACTGAATTTCATAGGACTGGTAAGAGAGGATGTTCATTAAAGACAATTTCATTTATCAGAAGTGCTTACTATGGTCAGACATTATTTTAAGAACTCTACAAGTATTATTTCATTTATTTATTACAACAACACTAGGAGAAGGTACTATTATTATCTCTACTTAACAGATGAGGAAACAGAATCTCACCTAACTCAAGGTCACAAAGCTATAAGTGGCAAAGCTGAGATTCAAACCTAAGTGATCTGACTACAAAATTGGTGCCCTTGATTACCATACTATGACATCTTTCAACATGATGCGGTGGAAACCATGCTTTGGAAGCACAGAAAGCTGCCCAAATCTCCATCTCTGTGTTACCCAAATTACCTAACTTCTTGGAACCCCTGTATATGTATACCCACTTGCAGAAGGGTTAATATCCTCTATTTTAAACAAGTATTGTAAGGAATAATTATACATATACATATATATATTCCTGCTATCTAGCTTATGAAGCCCACAGTAAATGGTTCCCATGGCCCTTCCTGCCATACCTGGTAAGACTAATTTAAAAGTAGAATAATTCAGCCGGGCTCAGTGGCTCAGCCTGTAATCCTGCGCCTTTGGGAGGCTGAGGTGAGTGGATTGCCTGAGCTCGCAGGTTCGAGACCCGCCTGGGCAACTTGGCGAGACTTCATCTCTACAATAAATCAAACATTAGCCAGGCGTGGTAGCAAGCGCCTGTAGTTCCAGCTACTTGGAAGGCTGAGGCGGACGGATCGCCAGACCCCAGCAGGTCGAGGATGCGGTGGTCGGGAGCGGCCACTGCACTCCAGTCTGGGTGACAGAGTGAAACTCCAACTCAAAAAAAAAAAAAAAATAAAATAAGTAGGATAATTCACAATAGCACAAAAACTGGAATAGCTCTACCCTTTAAGAGTCCCCCAAACCAATCTTTCTACATACTTACAAACTTTAAGAATAGCAATAATTCAGATAAGAATTTTTAATATATTGAAAATACAAACTTATAATAAGCAAATGCAAGTGAAATTTAAAGTACAGCCAAACTTGGCCAGACGCAGAGGCTTATGCTTGTAATCCCAGCACTTTGGGAGGACAAGGCAGGAGGATCACTTGAGTCCAGGAGTTCAAGACCAGCATGGGTAACATAGCAAGATCTCATGCCTACACAAAATTTAAAAATTAGCCAGGTATAGTGGTATGCACCTGTAGTCCTAGCTAGTCTTTGGGAGGCTGACACAGGAGGACCACTTGAGCACGAGTTGGAGGTTGCAGTGAGCCATCTTCATGCCACCGCACTCCAACCTGGGCAAAAGAGTGAGACTTTGAGTTTAAAAAAAAAAAAAAAGTATTGGAAAACTTAAACAAATGAGATTTTCCCCAGGGAAACAAAACTTATTCCACTTAAATAAATCTGCTAAAAAAAAAAAAAGAATACTAAAACTTTGTAAAAGAAGTACAAAGTAGTTTTTTACTTTAGAAAAGGAAGGTGAACTTAATGAGTATGTTAAAAACCAACTCCTTTAAGAAAGACAGCTTTCTATGTTGTCACCCTGTGAGTACTCTCGTGCTTCTCTGTTAAACTGTAAAGTTCTTTGGTGGGCAGGAATGTTTTATAATCATCCAGATACTCCCAGCCCCTAGTACACTGAAACTGGCAACATACTGTTTCTTTAAAAAAATAATTGAGCTGTTTTGTCTGGAAAAATGAAAAATAATTAGCTGAAAACAAAACTAAAGGCTGATTATATGTTTTAGTAAAGAAAAATAGCTAGTAGCACCTTTAAATATATGCCTAGTATATTTGAAACCACCTATTAAAAATTCAATTTACATAGCATTAGAAATATATCTACCCCATTAATTAAAGTATATCTGTAGACAAAAGAAGTTCAGTTCCTTTCAGTTAATTATTTTTCAAATGTGACTGTAGGTACTTTTGTTTTGGGTAAATTTCAGTGGGAAGCAGAACTCACTGAGAATGATTTAGAATTAACTTGGGCAGTTAGGTCTATAACAGCACAGTCACATATTAAATTTCAGACAATAACACAACTATGGCCACTGATGAGGTAGCATGTATCTCTCTATCACCTGTATTTCCCCCTCATCTGAAAAACCGTAAGTGAACACATCAAAATTTGCCTTTCCATGAACTACTTTTTTTTTTAGCTGGGATCCCTTAAAATTTTTTGTGCCTCTCATCTTTAGACCAATAGTCTTACTTTCACGTTTAAAGGCAGCAGCTGTAACACTTAAGCACAAGGACTTAGAAACAAGTTGCCTAATCTGGGTATGGTAGCTCACACCTGCAATCCCAGTGCTTTGGGAGGCTAAAGTGGGAGGGTTGCATGAACCCAGAAGTTCAAGATCCCATTTCTACACAAAATTAAAACATTAGCTGGATGTGGTGGTGTACAACTGCAGTTTTGGTTACTGAGGAGGCTGAGGTGGGAGAATCACTTGAGACTAGGGTTCCAAGGCTGCAGTGAGCTATGACTGCACCACTGCACTTGACCCTGGGTGACAGAGTGAGACCATAGTCTCTAGAGTAAAAAAGGAAGAGATTGGTTAAGTTTGAATACAGTCTCTGTTACCTATTAGCTGGATGAACTAGTCTCTGGAGTCATTTTCCTTAACTATAAAATAGAGTATAAAACAATATCTACTCATAGAAGTACACAGTAACTATAAAGCACTTGAACCAACAGTCCCTGGCGCATTAGTTATAATCATAAAACAAAGATATGCAATCTGTTGAAGTATGACTCACAATTATGTTTTATTTTTAACTGAGCATTAAAAATTAATTATAAGCAGAAACAGACCCTAGATTTCTTAACATTTCAAAATTATTAAAATGGTTGAATATGCCCTTCTCAGTTAAGCTTTAAACAGTCACTGATGAGAAATCTGGTAAACTGAATTCACTCAAAATAAAGAAGGCTTCCTAACATTTCCCCCTAAAATTTCAAGCACTCTGATATCACCCAGAATCAATTGAAACAATGTTGATATCAAGATGTACAGTTTTTGAACAACCTAAAAAAAAAAGGAATTAGAGTAATTACCCAACTCCAATAGTCGACAATGACAAAACACAAAGCAGCTACCTTGTAATTTCTATTGAAAACGTTAAATGTGTTTCCAGTAAAACCACTAAGTAATTTAAGAAAAAGATTCCTAGGGAAATTGACAAAAATAAGCTTTTGTGTTTGAAAAAATACAGAAAGGCACACTGAAACTGACTCCCTAGGAAAGATGATAGCTTATTTTACTATTTCAAGTTCTCAGTCACAATTAGCATTTCACTATTTTATCTTTTTTTTTTTTTTTTTGAGTTGGAGTCTCACTCTGTCGCCCAGACTGGAGTGCAGTGGCCGCTCCCGGCCACCGCAGCCTCGCCTGCTGGGCTCCGGCGATTCTTCCGCCTCAGCCTTCCAAGTAGCCGGAATTACAGGCATGCGCTACCACGCCCGGCTGATTTTTTTGATTTATTGTAGAGATGAGGTCTCGCTGCCCAGGCGGGTCTCGAACCTGCGGGCTCAAGCAATCCACTCACCTCAGCCTCCCAAAGGCGCGGGATTACAGGCTGAGCCATTGAGCCCGGCTTATTTTATCTTTTAAACAGATTGCAACCTAAAACTCAAGCACCTTTCCCAATACTGAAATTTACTGTTTTTGGTTTCCAGTCTATCAAGGTCTTTTTGTTCAAACTTGTGGATCTACTGGTTAAAAAAAAGGACAGCATTCTGCTTAAAAGTACACAACAACCAGGCACTCTACACTTAAAGTATGTTTTCACTTGTTAAACCGTCTTACAAGTAAATGTCCCAAAATTAATGGCACTCTAATTCCCTTTCAAATATTAAATGTAAAAGACCTCAGAAAAGACCAGCAGACCACCAAATTACAAATTAAGTCTACTAGGACTATCACTCACTTTACTTTTGGATGGGGTTTACACAGGAACATGACTTGTCACCATACTAAAACAAGAACCACCATTAACTCCATGTTTTCCTGGTAAGCAATAAATATCAAAGTTAAAAACAAGTATTTCAACAAATATGACAAGCCAAGCTCAGAGCACAAAGTTGGCAGGTAAAATTGACACCACAATTTCGAAACTATAAGCAACTACCAAAAAAACAAAAAACCGCACCCCACCCATTCTTATGTAAACTTTTGGAGTAAGCAAACTGCGAGCTTCACCTTTGTTTTCACCTCACATAAGGAGTGTTAAAGATAAGACACCAACTGCAAAAAGACCAAAAGAGCAAGAGTCAGCTAAAGTCTACATAAGGGAAAGGACTAAAACTTTAAGACATTAACGTATTTAAGTTATCGAAGGGCAGGGCACTTCCCCACGCTACAGCCATTTTAGATTCAGTCTTTCTTTTGAATTTCACGAGTTGAGAAGTAGACTTAAAGTAGAAAAATATATATATACTTAAAACATTTCGAGACCGACCAGCTTTCTTTTTTTTCCCCAAGGGAAGGGGGTGGCAGATATGGGATAGACTTAATCTAAACGAAAACACCTCGCCACCAAGGAGAACCGGAAAGCCGGAGATGAAAACTCTTTCCCCCTCAGATATCCCACAATTGACTTACACGACTTTTTTCTCCTTAGGATTTCCTTCAAAAGAAAACAAAAGCCCTCACCTCTCATTTTAAGAAGGAAAGAAAAAGCAAGCCGTAAGCCAAGCCACTCAACCAGCACCCAGCCGGATCGCCTGGAGAGGAGCCAAAGAGCCGCAGGTGAGTGTTCCGACCCGCAGACCAAAGTTGGAGTGGGAGCGCTCCAGCAGCGCCGCTCGCGAGCAGACCTCCCCGAATGGGCGTGGGGGCACCCCGTCCGCACACTCGACCCGTGGGCTCCGCTGGCCCCTCTCGGGTCGGACCTACACCAAACCACCTGTGTGAGAGCTTCTTTCAACTAGTTCTCACAGCCGGTTGGTCAGGCACCGGGCGGAGCCCCGCGCCGGAACGACTCCAAGATCCCCTACTGCCCTGTAGTCTCGAACTCCCACTCACCGGGCAGCAGCGGGACTACGGCCAGGAACTAGACGCGTCGTCTGAGGACGCGTCTCCAGCTTCTCGACCCAGCAGAGGTGGCTAGCCCACAACCATAACAAAGCTCTTCCCAAAATGGCTGCCCGGCCCACAAGGCCTAGGAGGGGCAAAACGGGGGGAGGAGGAGGAGCGACGACCAGCACGGCCCTCCCCGTCCCCCGTCCGACCCCGCCTTACACACGCCCACCTGCAGATGCGCATGCGCATGCGCGCAGAACATGCGCCAGTGACCCTGCGGGGGACGTCCGCGCCTCACGCTACAAACGTTCGGCTGCGTGAACGGCCGGTTACCCCTTGCCCCGCCCCCGGCTCCCTTCATCACCGCCCCGGGCTGCTTGTGGCCGCCCCGCCCCTCTGCAGAGTTGAATGAATCTTCTGCCTTTTCTTGCGCCGCCTGAGAGGCGGAGACCAGCCTCGCTTAATACGCCCCTTCTTATACCCCTGCCCAATGCCAGGGCCTGGACGCGTGTGAATGAGTGGGTGGGGGTAAATATGTGTGGACGTCCTTCCCCACCCCTTCGTTCTTCACCCTTCCACACCCACCTCTGGACAAGCACGCGTCCCCAAGCTACCTCTACAAGTACTAGGAGACCGGTTTCGGAGGAACGGGTGTTTTCTGACCCCTTCCCACCTTCCGCTCCTGCCTTCACGTGTGCGCGACGTCGAGACTCCAGCTCCCAGCGGGCTGCACAGCCCGCTCCGCAGGTCTGCGCGGCTAAGCCAGCCGCACTATCCTCTGGGACTGGTAGTTGTCCGGAGAGCCCGCGTGACGCCTCCGCCCCAGCGCAGGGCGGGTTTCTGGCCGGAGCCTGCGCCTTGGACAGTGGTAAGAAGTCCTTTCTCCTACCCGAAGTCTCATTGGGTATCGCACGACGGGAAGGGGCGGCGCTGCCATGACAGAGAAGGAACTAAAAGTGAAAGCCTGGTTAGACTAAAGGCAGTTACTGCTACGAAGAGTTGGCTGTAGCCCTTTCTGGCACGGAAAGTTAAACCATGTGATGGCAGGCGACCAGAAAGCTAGACTACCTAGCATCGGGAGGAATGGAGGAACTGTCCGGCGTGGCCTCTGACATCTTCTATTACTTGTCTGCAGCTTATCCTTAAGAGACGGAAGGACACTCAAATTAGCTGGTGCCATTTCCTTTGCCAATTTGCTAGACTGTTAAACAGAGGCACAGAGAAGAGAAAGGGCTTGCCCAAAGTCACACACCCAAGAAACAAATTAAAACTGAGGGTGGCAGGAGGAATGGCCTCACTTTCCGGATCACCCTCAAGCCCAAATCACTACACTGTCATGGAAATTAAAACCTGGCCCCTTATGTTCTTTATTTCTTTAAGTTTCTAGGTTCTAGCAAAAAGAATGGTAGGAGAAACAGGGCCCCACCACACACACCCCCAAATATTATTACTAGTTAAGGACCCTAATGCGGAGTGAGACGTGCCCTTTATAAGTCCTATAAAACCCTGTTTCGCAAAGTTGAGTGAGTTCCAGAGATGGAAAGCAACTTGGCCTAAACTCCCAAGTATCTTACTTTCTCTACACTACCATCACTCTGAGATTGTTTTTGTACTTACATTTTACCTCTCCAAACTCTGCGGGCAGATTCTGCTGTCTGCGAACCCTCGAATAAACGAGTATTGAACCTTATTCAATGTCTGGCTTCTATTAGAATGGCCTCCAAACAGAAAGCTGGGCATGGGAACCAATTAATGCAGGTCAAGTCCCCGACCGGACTCATTTTCTTCAGTTCTCAGGAAGCAGGGGGCTGGCTAAATCAACTCGCCGGAAGTGCTCCTCCAGGCGTACCTGGCTGTTGTTGCTGCTCAGCTTTCCATCTCCCCGCGCGACGCTAGCAAGTATCAGGGCCGCCACAGGTGAAGGTTGGGAACAGGGCACCAAGGGTTGGTAGTAAATTGGAAACGTGGGCACTGTCGAGCTAGGTTTCCGGAAGACACTGGCGCCTAAATTCCGCCCCCTTCTCTCAGAGGTCGGTTTGAGGCTGATATTTTGCGATCTTCCCAGCGGGGTAAAGGAAATATTGAGTGTTTTCACCTAAATTAGGTCTCTGCCCTTAATCTTCGGATCACCTGCCGTCCCTGGGATTTAGGCTACAGCTTTTTCACTTTAATACACGTGAATTGGAAAGCGAGTACCACAGTGGATAGGAGTTTCTGAAGGTGGGGTGGGGGAGTTGAGATTTTCAATGGAGTAATCCGGAAAGTCCTCCTAGAAAGGGCCATGCGGGCATTTTGGTCTAGAAGTTGGGAGGGTGGATGGGTGTGGGTGTGATTTAAACTCTACTCGGAAGCCCGGGATAATTGATCTGCCTACTTGCTTCTTTAAGTACAGGATTAAGACATTGACTACTATACAGGATTTCTCAATCCAGCCCTAAGATTTGTGATCAAGAATTTCGTTTAACACAAAAACATTTTAAATTAAGCAGCAACTGTGGGTTTTGCTTTTTAGACACCTCATTCTCCTGGTTAAGAATGTAATTGTCAGATCCAGATTCATATTCTCACTCAGCTGCTTACTGGCTGCTTACATTAGACAAAGTTCTTAATCAGTCACTCCTGTGTAAGGTGCTTACTTTGTATTAAGAACAATGTAATTTGTAGTTACATTAATTACACATTACACTGTCCCTAGTATAATAAGTTAATACATGTAATATTTACATGTATTAACTTATTAAATTTTATATCAGCCTTATGAAATAGTTATCTTTATTTCAAAGGTGAATGAACTACACCATAGAAAGGTTAAATAACTTATTCAAAGTCACACAGCTAATAAGTGGTGGAGCCGGGATTCTATCCAAGATTGTTTGATACCAAAGTCTGTACTCTAACTTAACAGTCTATTCTCTCTCTCAGTACCAAACTGACGAGGTTACTGTGAGTATTAAATAAGTTAATGCAATAAGACAATTATAGTGCCTGGATCACAGCTAAATTGTATTGGTTGCTACTATCATTATTCTCTAATAACTCTTAAGTCCTAAAGTAGATAATTAAGGAAAAAATAAAATAAAACAGAGAAGCTATGAACTTTGGAGGTTTTTTTTAAATCTGAAAACTACCTTAAGAAGACCTTTAATTTTAAAGATGAGAAAACTGGCACTAAAGCAATTTGCCCTGTGTTACACAGCTAAGACATGGTGGATGTGTTTGTAAAATCCAGATCTGTCTTTGGGCATTAATCTTTCTGTTATACTGAACAGCCAAAGCTGAAAGAACAGTTCAGGGGAGAAAAGGATCTATTTCATGTGTTACTGATACTTTGAAAACATTGATGGTTCTTTTCAAAGGAAGATTGTCCTATATAGGATAATTGTGCTATATAGGATAGGAATTCTTTATGAGTTACTACAGTTTAAAAATTAATCTATAAAGTGAAGAAAATTAAGTGATGTTTTATTTTATACACAGGAACATGATTCTGATTTAGCCCCTCCACTTAGCTATAAAAAGACATTAATCAGAACTGCCTGGCATCTTCCTGAACAAGACTTTCACTAGGACCCAGTATGCTTCATTTCATCCAGAAGTTTTCTCAAGTATCTTCAAAGGTTGGTTTGTTTGAGCACTGTTTATTTGAGCACAAATATTTGAGCACTATTTGCCAAGTATTGCTCAGGCTAGGGCAGTAGCAGGGAAAAAGACAAAAACTTTTATCTTCATGTATTCAGATGAAAGGGGGAACAGTTGCATAAAATACAAATAAGTAAAATGTTTAATATGTCAAGTGGTAAGTGTTGTGGAGGACTATAAAGCAGGGAAAGGGAATAGGAAATATCAAGAATAGATATAGACTGCACCTAAAAATAGGGTGGCTAGAAATAAGGGAATGGGCCATGCAAGTAGCTGAGAGAAGAGCATTCCAAATGCAGACAAAGGAGGAAAAGATCCCAAGATGGGATCATTCCGGCTGGGCTCAGTAGCTCAGCCTGTCTTCCCAGTACTTTGGGAGACCGAGTCAAGTGGACTGCCTGAGCCTGAGGGTTTGAGACCAGCCTGGGCAACTTGGCGAGACGTCTATACAATAAATCAAAAATTAGCAGGGTGTGGTAGCGCATGTCTGTAGTTCCAGCTACTTGGAAGGCTGAGGCAGAAGGATCGCCAGAGCCCAGCAGGTCGAAATAAGGAACCTGGGCGTCAGAGTGAGACTCCAACTAAAAAAAAATAGGGTCATTCCTAGCATGTTTGAGGAATTACCTAGATTCTTTTTATTTTTATTTTTTTGAGTTTGAGTCTCACTCTGTCACCCAGGATGGAGTGCAGTGGCACACTTACGGCTACCCCAGTGACAACCTGCTGGGCTCTGGTGATCCTTCTGCCTCAGCCTTCCAAATAGCTGGAACTACAAGTGCGCACTACCATGCCCAGCTAATTTTTGATTTATTGTAGAGATGTGGTCTAGCCAGGTTGCCCAGGCGGGTCTTGAACCCATGAGCTCAGGCAGTCCACTCACCTCAGCCTTCCAAAGTGCTGGGATTACAGGCTGAGCCACCAAGCCTGGCCAGCCTAGATTCTTAAATACTATTTTTTATTTCATCCAACACTCTTATTTGAAGTGTTCACTAAAGCATCTGTTCACTAAAGCACAAAACCAGCAGGGAATGCTACTACCTTGACTATGTATAATGAAAGGCATTGAGGATTTTTTTTATTAAGCAAAGAACAAAGCAGGACACAGTGGCTCACATCTGTAATTCTAGCACTTTGGGAGGCAGAGGCAAGAGGACTGCCTGAGCCAGCCTGGGCAACATGGAAAGACTTGTCTCTACAATAAATCAAAAAGTTAGCTGGGCCTGGTGGCTCGTGCCTGTAGTTCCAGCTACTTGGAAGGCTGAAGCAGAAGGATCACCTGAATCCAGCAGGTCAAGGCTGCAATGGCCATGAGTGTGTCTCTGCACTCCAGCCTGGGCAACAGAGTGAGACTCCGACTCAAAAAAAAGAAAAAAAAGGTCAAAGGTCTTGGCTCTCAAGTCTGCCAAGACAAAGACAAGTAAACACAATTTTAGTTCACTCTGAGGAGAATTATGATGAAAGTATGTAGAAGGTGCTATAGGAGAATTAAATCAGACTGGAGACGGGTTAAGGAAAGCTTTAAATTGAATTTTGAAAGATAAGGTAGGCTCCCTAGATAGAAAAGTAGTAAGAGCTAGAATTCTAGGCAAAGGAATGTACAAAGACATAGAGCTATGAAAAGTATGCAGTGTTTATAAAGCTAAATTGGAAGGTAGATTTCTTTTCTCTATATAAGATAGCATTCCCACAGTAATTAGTGATGCTTCTTTTGCAATTTGTAAACAGAAAATGTAGTTTAGAAGGCCAAATGCTAAAAATCTAGGCTTTATCTGCACCTCTTTCAGTAGTTCCCTCATGGGATAAGATTAGTGGTGGGCTGAAATATATATTCTTTAGTTTCTTTTGCATGTTTTAGCTGTTTAATACTCTTTTTTTTTTTTGAGTTGGAGTCTCACTCTGTCGCCCAGACTGGAGTGCAGTGGCCGCTCCCAGCCACTGCAGCCTCGACCTGCTGGGCTCCCGCGATCCTTCCGCCTCAGCCTTCCAAGTAGCTGGAATTACAGGCATGCGCTACCATGCCCGGCTGATTTTTTTGATTTATTGTAGAGATGAGTTCTCGCTGCCCAGGCGGGTCTTGAACCCACGGGCTCAGGCAATCCACTCATCTCAGCCTCCCAAAGGCACGGGATTACAGGCTGAGCCACCGAGCCCGGCTTAATACTCTTTTTTTAAGTTGGAGTTTCACTCTGTGGCCTTGACCTGCTGGGCTCAGGTAATCCTTTTGCCTCAGCCTTTCAAGTACCTGAAACTATAGGCATGCGCCACCACACTCAGCTAATTTTTTTTTTTTGAGTTGGAGTCTCACTCTGTCACTCATACTGGAGTGTAGTGGCCGCTCTCAGCCACTGCAGCG